AAATAAATAAGGGTTAAGAGGCTCTTGAGGTGAGCGGTTTGACTAACATACCTTACGTTTTACAATGCTACCCGTTTTTAAAGCGTGGACACGCACATCGGGAGATTTTTCCACACAGGTCAACGCTCTGCAGCCTGCATGAAGTATCTAGCATGACTCTGTTCATGAAGCACATGGATATCGGTGTCAGGGATGCTGCTGGTAACGATCCCGGCCGAGCGCCGGGGTTTTTCCGTCTGAAGGGCTCAACTACCTGCTTGAGAGCTCTGCAGCCTCCACGCTGGTGGAGATGTGAGGGGCTTGGCCACGGATGCGACGTAACAACCCCACGGAGTGATCCTTCAGACCCCTGTGAGCGCCGCCCTCCCCGCGGGCCTCTTGTGAGGGGCCCCGACTCATATCAGAGGCAAAGAGCAGCGCGGAGCCAAGCAACGCCAGTACTTGGGTCACTGTGTACCACATTAAATTTAGATTCCTTTAACGCCCTCCAATAATGCATCTGGAGTATTTCCGGTCATTGCTGTTCAGACTTTTATTTCGGAGATAGAAACTTCTGTAAATGGGCCACAGATCTGAGCTGTCATCCACCGCTGGAGACTTCACATCAAATCTGCGATCTGTCACCCGTTGAAACTTCCTCGCCAGCCCCAGTTAGGTCACTGGTGATTCAAACTCCAAAATAAAGTGTCCCACAAGAGCAGAACTTCACATTGGTCTAGAGCAGCGGGTCCCAAACTTTTTCCGTCGAGCCCCCCTTTGATGCCGTACGAACATTGAAGGCCCCCCCCCTGCCGTCCTCCGCACTCCAAATGGGTCATACTTTCTTTGTTTTTAATTAATTCTAATAGAATATATAAACCTTATAAAATGTGTTTTTCTTTCTTTTTTTGCTGTCAATGAAATAGCAATAAAATTAACTTAATTCCAGTGCAAACAACACATTTCCCCACATTTTCTTGTTCATCTTGTTTAAATGTTTAAAAGGCTCATGGAGAGAATCAGTGCTGAACTCGTGGAAGCGGTTTGCTCGATGACAACTGGCGACCCGCAGCAAGTGTGTATGTTTTCACTGGCTGGGAGGAACCAAGGACGCTGAAATATCACAATAAGATCCAAAAAGAGCCTTTAAATGCCGCTTTCCTCGTACCAAATACAGAAAATGTTCCATTTGACATCCATCCCAGCTTATTGCATGATTTACGACTCCTTCATTTCTTAGAGGCAAAAGATTTAAAGCTCAAACCAACAAAAAAAAGTCCCACTGATAAGAAGGATGATTTCGGCCAAAACAATATTTCATTATTTTATGCTTTTTAATTGTTATTTCGAACTGACGGCAAGAAGGAAAGGGCCTAACCAACTGACACGATAAAACCTTAATTCGTGCTTATTTCTCCATTAATCCTCACATTATGTTGACATTCAGAGGTGCAGATTCCTTTGATAGACGAGCTGCGGCTCAAACGAAAGGTGACCTTTGAAGGCCATGAAAACAAAAAGAGCTTCTTTTTTTTTTCTTTCTTACAAAAGAGTAGAACGTGCCAAAGTCTAAACTACGAGCAGATGTCTATGGAACAGCTCGCCCTACAGCTGGAGAAATACTGTTCAACTTTTCCACTTAAACCGTTTTATATTGCTGCTCTGAGGGAAACTTTGCGTAAATAAACGAAATGCCGAGCTGCGTTTTCAAATGGGACGCTTATTACCGTTCAACAACGTTACCGGCATGACAGGTGACAGTAAAAGAGCTCATGAAATCATCCCTTCGGCCGCATTTAAGGATTGACAAACGCAGGAGCACTGAAAACTAGATATCATGTCGCAGGCGGGCCAGCCAGTAAACGCAGGGGGAGCAGCTGATGGAGTTCCTCCGCTCGGCTGTGAGCCGTACCTGCATCTGCCCCCGGTCCCTGAACGTGACAACGCCACGGGGCTCCATGATGCCGCCGTCCACTCGGAGATTTGCGTTTTAATTCTTTTTTTTTCTTTTTTTTTAAAGCCTCTGCGTCGCTGCCCCTAATCTGTTGTGCATCGACAACGACTGAATAAATGTTGCCGCTTTAGCCGACTCATTTCACCACCTAAAAATAAAACTGCTGGGGAGTCGGGTTGCGTGTTCGTTAAAAGAAGACTGCATTTATTCTTTTATAGTCTTTTTTGTATTTCGGATGAGCTACTAAAACGGGCAGCGTTGAGTCAAAGTTGCTTTGCCAAAATGAAACGCAATACATATTTCATCATATGGGCAGTAAATACTTGTGGGTAAATGTTGTGAGATAATAAATACCAGGTTTGAGTTTAGCAGAATAAAATCAAAAGAAATTCAATGCAGATATGAAATTTAGGTGAAATTTTCTGCTATAAAGAAACCACATCGCATTTCAGCCCATTACAACTTTTGACAAAGAAAAAGGCGACAAAGTGTTTGAACAATCACGAGCGAAGCAACATGACGTCCGGATGACTCAATAACAAGCAAGTGAGCAGCGCAAGAGAAGAAGTTTGGTGGTCAGCGTCACATTAGGGGCACTAAACCACTTCGACACACGAGATGTGAACACACACACACACACACACACACACACACACACACACACACACACACACACACACACACACTTTCAAATGTACTCATGCTGACGGGGCTCCGGGGCTCTTATCGGATGTGTGGCTTCAGAGCTTTCCCGAGCACACGTGAAGGTTCAAGGCACTGCAGAGGCCGTGACCTTACATCACCAAAACATTAATATGGATTGTTTCCAAATTTGCAAACCAGGGTACTTACAATAAGAAAATACCCCCCCTTCCCTTTTGCCCCCCCCCCAGTAACGACACCCACAGCCCTCCAAGGCCCACTCTGACCCAGTCAAGTCTTACGGCAGAGTTTCTGCTGAGGTAAGCCCTTTTCTACTTAAAAAGGTATTAGCACTCGGGGTTGAAACAGTAAATGCTCTGCGTGCAGGATAAGAAATGTGCATCCTCAGAAGGTCTAATGCAGCTGGTGTAAAGAGGGAAACTGTGCTTTAGCAAGTGTCTGCCGCCTTTCAGATGTTGGTCTCAGTGGCTGACTTGAAAAGCCTGCATGGGCTGTAATCCGAAAAAGGAAAAAGCCTCACAGGCCGCGTTTTGTATTTTGAGTAATCTGCGCTGAACTGCGCTCACCCCTGATACCAACCGTTAATAGAACACTTGTACTTTAAATAAAGCATCAGGCGCTCGTTTGTTCGTTGAAGCAAACTTTATTTCCGCTCCCTCCTGCGTGGAACCTGCTCTGAACATGTCCACATGACCGCATCTCCCGTATGACAGAATTCAGCGATAAGCAAACGCACATTCAAATTCGACCGACGCAGGTAAACATCAAATGATGAATCAATTTGGGAGTCAATCTATTGCAAACCTTCCCTCGCAAACGTTTCTCGTCTTTGCACAAAACTGCAGAGGTTGTCCCGCTGAACATGTGTCGTCGTTGTTGTTGCTTTTCACCCATTTAGCATTACATAACTGACTGAAGGCGTTCTTTTTTCTTTCCCAGATGCATGTTAATCCTGTGCATAAAAGGATGAGGTGAATATGGGTCAGCAGGTTAAGAGTATCTCAAAGTCAGACTTTGTCAATGCACGAAGCTTCCCAACAACCTGTCTTTGCCTCACTGTTACATAAGTGCTGCCTGCTGTGCACAAACCACAAAGTCACAGTTTCCCTTCAGTGGATACAAATACCGGCTGAAGTACAATGATTTTGTTGTTGTTGTTTTTGTCTGATTCAAGTGTCGTAGTGTCCGCGGAGAGGGGGGGGGGGGGGTGTCACCTCTTGCCCATAAAGTGAAGCGATCTGCTGTGATGATTTCTGCTCTTGCGTTTGCGCGCCTGTGTTTATGGCTAAACCGGTTACATAACCAGCTTACATTCCACGCTCACCATATCACACTCTAAATATACCCGCGCGCGCAGCGACAAAAATAAATAAATAAAAAAACAAAACCCACCGTGCAAACGAACTAATTGCCACGTGCACATCGATCGCCTCCCCGCAACGTGCAAACCCAACTGTCAGCAAAAAAATAAATAAATCAGTGGAGAAATCCGCGTTTCTTTGAACTCGGATGAGCCCGTTTACACCGTGCGGGAGACGGCCGGGGAGGGGGCGTGGCTAAACACCGCCCGCACTGTCCAACATGGACGGGACGCGGTGGTGGAGAATTCCCGCTGCTCGCGGTCGACGGGCTTGACCGATAACGTGGCCGTGGTTTTGGTTCGGCGGCTCCGGGCGGCTGAGAAGGCACGCGGCGCCCCTCACGCCCGCAGCAGCGTTTTGAGAGCAAATTCCAGCTGCTTGTGCGGCTTTTTTTTTTCGTGTGGGCACGCAGGGATAGACGAAGAAAAAAGCTGTGTTAAAAATATATATATATATTTTGTTTTAATCCCCAAACCGAGCCCAAGCGACGCTTTGTGCATTAAGCAGCAACCGCGGAGGACGTTGTCCCCGCGAAAGGGAGGACGGGACCGATCGATAAACTAGTCCACAGTTTGCAAAAGTTCACTTTGGACACTTTGACCACATCGCGTCCGAGCGGACGGAAGCTCCCGCTGGCCGATGGGAAGTTGCTGGGTAATTGATTTATCTCGCAGTCGGGAGAAAACGTGACATCTGCGACCGAATCACCTCCCCCCCCCCACCACCACCACCACCACCCCTTCCCGCACCCACCCACCCACCCCCCATGACTCGAGCTGTCAGTGGAGCCTGAAAACCAGCAACACACCGAGCCAGTAATTACAAGCGAACGGCTAAAATAAAATACAAAATAAACCGCGGCTAAACGCAATAAAAGCCACGTCCCTGCGGGTCGGTAAACCCTGACAGCGTGTGTGTGTGTGTTCACGGGGAAGCGATTTAATTCATTTTGAAGTTTGATGTAAAATAAAAGAAGAAGCAGCAGAATCCGCGGTCGGTCTGCGCGTTCGTCCCCCGGCAGAAAGCGGACGCGTCCGGCTCACCTCGGTTGGTGCTGGAGCAGGTCTGCCTCCGAACCGGGGCCGGCTGGTCCGCCTTCCGGAGCGTCTCCAGGTTTACCGGGGTTTCCCTGACCGGGGTAGCCGGCTCCGAGGCGCTGTTGCCCGGGTCGCTCGCTGGATCTGGAGGGGACTCCATGTTGAATTTGCGGATTTCGCTGCCTTTAAACTGCCGCTGGTGCTGTCAAACTAATTCTGCGCGATCCGCCAGCTCCGTCCCTGCGTCTCGCGGTCTAATTTAGACTAGAAGTAAGAAATGAGAAACGCGAGTGTGTCTGGAGGAGGGTGCGGGGGTTTGATTGTCCACTAGCAGCGCTAGTGAGAGCTCCGCTCCTGCACGCTGGGAAGGGAGAGGTTGTCAATAGCCGAAGAATAGATGTAGGCCTGAAAGTAATCCAGCGCGGATCGACCCTGCGCAGTGATCCACGACGTCAGTCTCACCTGCCTCGGCAGATGTTCCACATGTGGCGGATTATTCATGCAAATTGTTAGAATAGAGAAAAAAAAAGGTGGGATATATAGACTGCAGCTGAATTTGATCACGATCCATACCATAATAAGGAAAATAATGAGTATTTTTTAGCTTTGTGCTGTAAACACAGTCTGCAAATCTCACACATTTAGGTTGGGAGTAAATAATCCCATCAATCCATTCACAATACACAATAAAGTTTATATTTGCGAGTTAGAAACAAGCTGCAAAAAGGTGATTTGCAGCAGATAAACTTCTCCCGTTAAACAAACTTTTCATGCCTGAAAATTCAAAGACGGATAGTTGCAGCTCTGCTCATTATTTTCATCATCATCCCCACTATCATCATCATCATCATCATTATCATCCTCCTCCTCCTCTTCCTCATCCTGTGGGTGGAGCGGACCGCATGCGTGTCTCAGACTGCTCGATCCGATGAAAGGACTCTTCCCCTATTACAGGATTCCCGCCACGGTGCTCTGATTAAAGTGGGGATTGACAGCGGTTGGGAGTGAACACGCTTCCAGCTACACTGCGGCGTGCACACCTGGGCATGCATGCACCGTGCTCTGTGACATGGCCCCGGCCCCTCGGTGCAGAGGCAGACTTCTGACTGACGGGTCAGTGGGGTCACAGTGTCAAAAAGTGGCGGTTACATAGCAGTGTAAATGAGGTTTTTAAAAAAAATGCTTTTATTAGTTACTTGTTTTAAATAGGGCACCAGTGAAAGAGTGGTGTTGGAATCTGTGCGCCTCCAGTCCACAAATGGAAAAACAAAGCACAGCCAAACCAATACTCGTAGACAACTCTGTGTTTGACCACATCCACAGGCAACAGCGGTGGGACCTACAACCTGCTGGCAATTAGCGGAAGTTAATGCAGCGGTTCCCAAACTTTTTAGGCCACACACCCCCCTCCTACATCCCAACTGGGTTCATGCACCACCAATCCCCCACACTTAAAGAGAAAAAGTATAGCCGCATCAAAATTGGATCAATGACCGAAGAGTTTGCTCACGCGTGATGTTTGTTTACAATATGTAGTCCGGCGACTGCAGCGTTGTATCATATTAATTCTGAATCGGGACAAAGCAACAAAAAAAAACACACACACAATACTCAGTGACACACAATGTCACTGAGTAGTAATTGAGTCAACAAATTCCCTGAGCATTTTCTTTGGAAAAATGAAATAAAAGATGGAGCCAATACAGTCAGATATTTTATCCAGGTAAGAAATAATGATTACGCAAAAGCCTCCAAAACCACAGTCAATATTTAAAATTTGAGTCACCGGAGGAATCCGTTTCCAGTGCAGCTCTCCTTGTGTGTAACTCACCAACAACAGTATGATATAACTTTTGGAGCTGCGCGGCGCTGAAGGCCGACTTCTTGGAAGTGCGCCAGAAGGAATCTCTCACTGCCAAGCGAAGAGGCAAGTTCCATTCCTCCTGCTCAGCTTCAGCTCATGCAAATTTCCCCAACCTCCTGACCCAGTGCAATTTAACCGTGCGAACCCTCCTCTCCAATTCCACGCCTGTTGCGTGTTCAGCATCGGAGCCGAAATAACTTCCACTTGAAAGAGACGCAAACGCACTTTTACCTCTGGAATACACTAAACAGCAGGCCTGCATATCTGCTATGAGTACACGGTTAAACACACGCAGGCACTCTAAATTGAACTGTATATTGTTGCCTACAAATCTAAACTCATCTTTAGTCTGCATGACATAAGGATGCGAAACAAAGTTTAATTTTGCATTTGCAGACTTTAGATGCAATGTATTTGTACGAGCAAAAGCAACTAAAAACTTCAATCCAGGCTTTAACCAAAAGGATGCAAGGGCAAGTTCGACGCCGCCCTTTTAATTTGTGAGTTAAAATGAATTATGCTGCTGTCACATTGTTGAGCAGGAGAAGGATGTGGCGGATGTGAAGCGAGTAGAGTAAGCATACCCGCCTGTGTTTAAAAATGATTGATTAAGCTGACACCGGCTCAGGGGTGCAACACCGCTCTATTTTTCTCCCTCATTATGTAAGGCTATATTTCAAATCAGGAGTGCACTGGAGGAAGACACCAGAGACACCAGACAGGACACCCTTCACCAAAAAGTTTATCAGACAACAGCCAAGGAGACTGATGAGTTTCCCCTCTAATCACGTCAGCGTCGGCCGCCGTTAGCATGAGAAAACTGCGTTTGACCAGTTTTGTTATGATCACGTTTGTTCAGTTGATTTCGTGTTAGTGTTTGCTAGAAATCTGAATACCTAAACCAGGTAGTGTAGAGCAGGTTGTATGCTGTGGATTTTAAATCATTTGTAAATATCTTTTTGAAAAGATGAGATCAACTGTGTTTACAAGAAAGTAATTCACTCAGAAAATCAATGAGAAACGTCCTCGTCTCCTTGTGCTGCATTGGGTTTTGGTAGTAAAAACTCTCAGAATTACGCTTTTTCATGCGGGTGTGGTGACATATCTTTGTTGCCGTACAAATCGGACATCAGAACCCGAGCCCGGCAGACACAGCTCTTTGCATGCTCATGCAGTGCAGAGTGTAATGAAAGAGACGTATTAATGGCCTTTCACTTATTCATGCCTCGGAAATGAAGAGGCACATTCACATTCACATTTTGAAATGGTTGACAGAATAAAGAGCCAACATTGGGGAAGATTGTATTTATGATTTCACTGTGACAGATGAACGTATGAAGAGAGAGACGGAGTGACACGTTTCAGACAGTTCAAAGTTTTAAATGATGTGATGTATGGCGATGTACTCGAGCACGGGGGGCTCCCGCTCTTATATATTTTCACTTTAAGAATCAGCGCCTCAAGTGAAGGCTTAAAAGTCATTGCTGTAGTTTCAACAAACATTGTGGACACTGTTTATTGTACAGTAAATTTAATGGAGGGGAATATTTAAATTTTATGGCCCTACACGTTTTTTGATTTTGGCCATTACAGATGAATCCACAGTGTTTCTTCACTGTCAGTGTGCAGCTTCTCCCCAATAGCACCACCTAGCAGCAGCTTGACCACAGAAAATGACTGCGTCCACACTCTTTGGTGTGTAGTGCATTGTGCCCACGTGTACGTACAAATAACTCCTCAGCATACTAAATCACAGGTGCATGAATATGATGTGCGACATAAATTAAAAATGTGTACGTTTTAGGAATATTAGGGAATAAAAGAGGTCTTATTCGCCACCTGACGATCTAATGAGGATATTGCTTCGGTAATAGAAATATTTTGCTTGCTTGTGAAACTAAGACAGCCAGAGTGGCCACATTTCACTCATTTATACAACAGCTGGAGAATAATGCTTTCCTCTGGTCTACAAGAGGGTATATTTACACACAATAATCCAAAATATTCTCTGGACTGGGGGGAAAAAAGGGAAGAAATAAAGATTTGCGGTCCAGAGTGAACTCCTTTCTGTCAGAGTCAGATTTGACTCATGGCATGTGTGTAGAGTTCATATGACCGGGGACCGGAATGATTTTCTCAGTTAAAAATCAGGAGGTGAAAAATGGCACGGTTATTTGTGCCTGACAGAAGTTAAGAGCTTTTCCCTGAGGCCCGCCGCCTCCCTGCTGACCGCAAGGCAGCCTTCTCCTCCAGCATCCTCTCACCTTGTGAGATCACACCTCTGCAGCGGCTGCTGGGATGGATCGTCCCCCCGCGACTCAACGCTAACTCTGCTGTCTGTGCATTTATCATCAGTGGGACTCTTTTTTTTTGTTTTTAATTGGCATTGTGGATTCAAGTTTGTGTATCACCGCGTCTGTTTTTGTTTGTGTGCGACATGTCTTAAGTTAAATGCACAGGTGAAGCTCAGAGGCAGGTAAATTCATTTGCACGGTCGAGGTTTTGCATGTGTGTAATTGCGAGGTTCTAAGGTTCTAAGGGTTATCGGATGGTCCTTTGCGGCACAAACCGGTCCCACGGGACGAGATCAAAGCAGTCCGGGGGAAGGAGGATCGCGTCTACGGTTTATGTTTTGAAGTTTCAGAGGGTAGAAAAATGTCCCATATCCAGGATGGAATAATGCAGATGGACGCATATCAGTGTACGTGGATGTAAATGAAGCCTACTGAGTATAAGACGTCCAACCACTGTCCACTCTGCTTATCCCTGAACCACAGTAACTAACTGAATGTTGTTGTACATTTATAATTAAATCTTCATCATTCTTGAAGTCTATCTAATGTCAGAACTGTAGCCGAGGTTGAGAAATAATGGCCACATCCAGGCTAAACAGCACGGTGCTTTAAAAAAAATCATGTTTCCTAATATGTCTTGCTTTTCCCTTGATTTGGTGTCGATTAAGATGCTGTTAACATGACAATGGCGCAGAATGTAACCTGCAGATGCTGCGTTCCAAGCGATCGTTATTTTGACTCGCCAGTCAACACGGCGCCACGCGGTCGCCAGCCTGCAGAGCGCCGTTGAACGTGATGATGAAAACAAGACCGCCTGATCCTGCCTGACAGTCCTCACCCATCTGACGCCGCTGTGCGGTCTCTGATGCCGGGGCGGCTGCTAATTTAGCCTTTAGCTCCATGGTACCGTGAATCACAACACTCAGGAAGACAAATGTCAGAACACATGTTGCCAGACTGCGTCTTTGAGCAGAAGATTCCTTTAATTGGGTGTGCAGGGACCGGGTCCAATCCCCAGCACCCTCCCCGTCTTTCTCCTTCCCCACTCCCTCTCTCTTTGCCTCTCTCAACATGCTAACAAAAGGCAGAGAGATGAAAAAGACAGCGCCAACCCATCCATACTTTGTGCCATTATAGAACAGTCGCACTAGGGGTAAAGAGGTACGATGCTGAACATCAAG